TCCGAGGGCTCCAACTACAACATTTCTTGTTGATGTTTCATCTGCTACATGTTTGAGATTTTGATTTCGAGGTCCTAGTAATTTGATAGCTTTTTGAAGATCTTTAAAGATATATTTCAGTCTGCAGGGACTGCCATACCAAATAAGGATGCAATTTTATTATTATTATTATTATTATTATTATTATTATTATTTATGTTGTTGTTGTTGTTATTTATGTATGTTATGTTTCCTGCTTTGAATCCTGTAGAGTTGGTTCCAAACTATGGTACTTAAGCCCTCTAAGAGAATTATCATTTATTTGATAGCACTTTTCTTAGTATAGGGGATATTCCTAGTGGTGGATGGACAATTGTGTACTGGATATTTTTGTCCCGGACAATTGCGTGTCAAACAATTGCGTCCCTGGACATTTGCGTCCCTAGACAAATGCGTCCCAGGATAAATGAGAACCTCTGATAATTAACTGAAGTCACCATTTGTTTAATATAGAAATTGGCACACCAATACCTTAAATTACTCTAAACAAGAAGAAACATAATTACTATAAATAAAAAAAGAGAGAAAAATTTCTTTTTTAAAGTAAGAGAAAATTAATCTAGCAGTTTCAGTTCACTCCAGCATTGCGTACCACAAACATCTAATAAATTCTGGATTTTATAGACTATATTTTTATTTGGACGAAGGAAATTACAGCTACACCTATCAGAAGAGAAACGCCGATGATACAAAAACATACTGGCGATATGGAGAGCGATCTTGCAACACTGTTAAGCTGTCATTGAATTTTAAACAAAAAATAAACTTTAAGTTTCTTTTTCAAAATTTATGGTAATTGCTTTTAAAAGACTCAAAAAATTATCAGAGGTCCGCACTTATCCAGGAACCCATTTGTCTAGGGGCGCAAATGTCTAGAGATGCAATTGCTTGCTACGCAGTACGCAACCGTCCTAGAACCGTTCTTAGTAGAGCGATTTTCTGGGTAATTTGTATGTCGATGTTACCTGGGATACCGTTAGTAAAATTGTACATTCCTTTTCTCATGAAGCTCAGAACACTTATTGGTACAGTGTCAGTTTTCATTCTCCATATCCTGTTAATCTCGATCTCCAGGTCCTTGTATTTGCATAATTTCTCGATAATTTATATTGGGGTGGTTCTCTCAGATGGTACTGCTAATGTCAATAAGCATACACTTCCTGAATTTCTTGTCTTTATAAAATTATCAGGTCTGTTATTGACCTGTCAGCAGGAATTGGCATCTTACAGAGGAGAGTTACGCTACGTTCTTATGTCTGTGGGTATATCTAGCTTTTATGAGCTCTGGACAGTCTGAGATAATATGGTCGACAGTTTCATCAAATTTTCCGCAGATCCTGCATTTCGGGTTAGTTCTATTTTTGATTATGTGACAATGATATGATCGGGTTGCGAGGCTTTGATCCTGAGCTGCAAGAATTAGGCCTCGTGCCTCAGCTGTTGTGGTTTTTGCAGTTAGTTCAAGTTGGATCAGAACTTGGCCTCCTACAGCTATTGGTACATACAGCCAATCAACATCTGATTTCGGGTGGCACATTCTCACATTTAGGTAAGCATTTTTCTAGTCTTGTTGTCCTATATTTTAATGTCATTCAGTTCTCTTTAATAATGTTGAAACTGTATATTAATACGGGTATAGCTGCATATTAATACGGGTGTAGCTGTATATTAATACGGGTATAGCTGCATATTAATACGGGTGTAGCTGTATATTAATACGGGTATAGCTGTATATTAATACGTGTATAGCTGTATATTAATACGGGTGTAGCTGTATATTAATACGGGTATAGCTGTATATTAATACGGGTATAGCTAATATTAATGTCCCCATTAAGTGCGCTTTCTAGTAACAAACGTACATTCCTATAATATTCTTTTCAGATTTTTTTTCTTCATAATTGAATGTTGTATTCCGTCTCAATCATTAATTCCTAATTAATTGATTCATTAATTAATTAATTTCTATGTACCATTTTGATCTAGTTCCTTAATCTTATTGTTGATATCAAAGACTAAATCTTTACTTTTCGTTAGTTTATCGCCGTTGAAGTTTTTCCACACTAATGTCTTCGCTGAAGATTTTGACAATGGTGAGTAGGTTTTCTGCTAGCTGTCATCCTTGGAAAACGTTTTGAGTTCATCAATATACAATAGGTGATTCATTTTGCCATTCAGTGACTTGTATCCGTAGCTAAATTTGTTCAGTAGTTGAGCGGTAATAAAAATGAATCTCATTGTAAAATCCCGCTTTTGATGTTGATTGGTCTTGATGTTAATAAGGTGTTTGTATGATTTAGGTTTTGTGAAGTGTTCCTTGTTTTCACCTCTTCCAATATTGTTTTGTTGATAATTTGTCGACCCTTGCACAAGTAACTTTTACATCCCTTCTGTTCTGCTAGAAGTAAATTGTTTTTCTCAAAGAAGTTGTGTCCCCTCTCGGTTATGAGAGAAGTGAAAACCTTGGACATTTTTGTTAGGCAGTTGATGATCCTATAATTCTTAGGTTTCTGTGTCTATTCTGTTTTTGAAAGTAGGTATGTTACTTCCCACGTGAGATATTTGGAGCATTTTTCTGGGTTTAAGATTATATCATTGTATAACTCTGCATGGTGCTGGTGGGTCTTAGATAGGTTTATTATTATTATTATTATTATTATTATTCCTTTGATTTCTGGGATATACTAATTTATTTCCGGGTCCCAACCAGAGACCTAAGGTCAGAAATGGCCTCAGCACTTTTCCCAATGAGCATCTTTTTTGAAAAATAAAACGGATCCTTATCCAAAATCTTGCTAACTTTTCAGTTTCTTTGGAGATCATTCTTGTATCATATGGAGCAGCAAAGTCAATAATTTTACACATGCTATTCTCCATATCTATAACAATATAAGGACGGGTCTTCAAAGACCTGAGCTGTTTGGACTGAAAAATCCCAAAATACATTGGGACTGTCATTTTCTACTACTACTACTACATTTGACTGAGATCCATACCACTTCTCTTTTACACAGAATTATTATTATTATTATTATTATTATTATTATCATTATTATTATTAGTAGTAGTAGTATAGTAGTAGTAGTTCTATTTGTAGTAGTATTATTATTCATGTTCAGTAGAAGCCCAGGTGCGAAGAGATGGGAACTGATAATTTAAGTATTCCATACCACACCCCAATGGGATCTACCAAGAGGAGACAACGATCCTGCTTTCCCTCCCGAGTCCAATGTCCTGGTGATGAGACGGAGATATACTGATGACATAGATATTCATAGTCGGGATAAACATGTCCATTTTCTAAAACTTTCGGACGTCTGGAAACCATACAGAAATACCAAAGGATATGCAAGCAATCATCATTTTATTATTATTATTATTAATAATAAATTTCAATGTGAAGGATCCGAGTGCTCAAATCGCTACCGGCAGGACCTTATCATTTATCAGTTCAGAGTAATTGTTGTCTTTTTTTCTATTTGTTTTACTGTCCTAGTGTAGTCAGCAGGTATGGCAAAATCAATTATTTGGCATTCATTTTCAGTTGTGTTGAGGACGCCTATACTTGCTCTTCGGTTTTCCATAACTTGAACTGTTGGAAAGTCCTCGTCCAAGATTATCTTTGGCTTGGCATCTTCTTTCATTACTCTCCATTACTCTCCATTATTTATTATTATATGATTGACACTTTTATTTCCATATCTGAATGGGCGACAATTGTTCGTACGTTTTTCTTGTTTTCTTTCTTTCATTGTAATTTATTACTTTTCAAGCATTTACACTATAAATTTGCTGAATTACAGACAAGAGCTGTTGGCTGTAATCGTCTCAGATTTCCTGTACTTTTCTTCGAGATCTTGCCAACTCCAACATTGCCGTTGTCGGCACATTCCCTAATTCCATCAATCTCACGTCCAGTATCTTTTCTTATAGACACGACTCATGTTTCAAAAAAATTTATTTACTTTTCAGGCGAGGTTCTCGTACTTTGGACATATCTTCTGCATGGTTTCACTTCCCGCGGTTTCAGTTACCCACTGTCAAGCTTAGAAATAAACAATTCTCAAGCTACATGCTCCCTAAGGGCAAGAGTAGTAATGTTTGTAAATCGGATATGTTAAAGAGAAGTCAGAAAATTCTCACTGAAAGTTCTCCAATTATTAATAAATTTTAATTAATCATGGTCTCAAAGGACAAAAATCAAAATGCTGGTCAATGGTAAATCTTAAAGCTATCTCAATTGCTTAGTCTTCTGCTAAGGATGTTACTTCCCTGTGTCATACTCAACAATGCTTCCTGCCAAAATCTATGTTGCAATGTTATACGTCTAGCTCATGATTGTGTGTTGAATATTGCTGCCACATTTGATGCTTCTGTTATATCTTGAGATTCTTAGAGAGACCCAAAGAATTTAACATGTTTCCTGGCATCTCGGGTTTAATATCCTATACACCGCTGTAACCTCCCTGTGCCTTTTCTATAAATATTTTTATGACAATAGTTCTGCTGCGATTTAATCTTTGGTACATTGTCTTCAATAATGCAAGCTGAGTGCAAGATCAGAAGCCATTCCTTACAACTTTAGAGTTAAAATAGCTAAATGTAAGGGGAGGTTCTATTCTAATAATTTCTTCTCTCGCACTTTTCTTACGTGAAAACCTCTTCCGGCTTCTTGCTTTCAACTAACATCATCAAAAATTGAAATGCCATATCAATCGTCGTCATCTGCTTTTTTTATCCTATTTCGTTATTGCCCTTTCGCCTCAATAAATGTCCCCTAATTTCTTTAATTGTCAGTCACCCCTACTTTTAGGCGGCTATCGCCTTGGCTGAAGTGTAATTATTTTTTTAAAGTTATGTTAATAAGGGAAGAAAAAATGGTGCTCTGAGTTTGCTAAAATCTACAAAAAGAATTCTATTTCATGAGTCACATGAATTTTATTAAAGACATACTGGAAATATTAACTACATATAAATAATAAAGAAACATTAATATAAAGAAAAAAAGAAATAGATAGATAGATAGATAGATAGATAGATAGATAGATAGATAGATAGATAGATAGATAGATCTCAACAATCTGGAAATAAATGGATTTTAACAGATTGTGATAGATAGATTTTAACAGACAGCGATAGATAGATAGATAGATAGATAGATAGATAGATAGATAGATAGATAGATAGATTTTAACAGGCTGTGTCACATAGATAGATAGATAGATAGATAGATAGATAGATAGATAGATAGATAGATATCAACAAACTGGAAATAAGTAGATTTTAACAGATTGTGATAGATAGATAGAGAGGGAAATAAATGGACAGATAGATTTTAACAGAGATAGATAGATAGATTGATTGATTTTAACAGGCTGTGATAGATAGATAGATAGATAGATAGATAGATAGATAGATAGATAGATAGATAGATAGATATCAACAAACTGGAAATAAGTGGATTTTAACAGATTGCTATAGATAGATAGATACGTAGAGAGATTGATAGATAGATTTTAACAGATGTGATACGTAGAGAGATAAATACATTTTGTGATAGATAGATAGATAGATAGATAGATAGATAGATAGATAGATAGATAGATAAATAAATAAATAGCTAGATAGATAGATTTTAACAGTGATAAATAGATGGACAGATTTTAACAGAGATAGATAGATAGATAGGTAGATAGATGTGTGTGTGTGCAATGTTACAATTTTGGTCTTCTCTGTGTGTGTGTGCGTGTGAATGTGCGTGCATACAGAGAAAAAAAGACAAAAATGGAATCACCTTTAAAAGATGCGTTTTGTCCACGTGGCGTGTTTGTTTCGGTTTCTTCAGGTTGGAATGAAAGACAAAACTGTGTACAGAAAAATGTTTTGGGATATTTTAAGATAAGTAAAGCAATAAATTAAATCACCTAATCAGGTCATATAGGTATATATATATATATATATATATATATATATATATATATATATATATATATATATATATACCGGTTGCGATAAGTAGAATGTCGGCAGTTATAATTTCACGCGTGATTGTTGTTTGTTTTTGATTTTGACGACTGTAGGATCAGATGGAGAAGGTCTGAGAGAAAAGATCAACATGACAAAATTTACTCCGCCAGAAGTTTGGAAATGGCATCCTGTACTGCGCCAGAATCTCCAATACAAACATTTCAGAGTGTTAAGCGTGCTACTAGGTTGGCATTTAGGTCCCACCATTTTACTGTTGAAATAGGGAAATGTAACTGCCACTTCTACTCTAAAAGGCTTGTTGTCTCGCATTCCATGACAGTGAACAGGTTTCCACTTAATTGCTTCCCGTATAAGTACGTTCTTCAAAAATTTAAATGCAATGTCAATAGTCATCTTCCAATGACTTGATCTCCTTTACGCAATCCCCCACCCCCTATAACCAGTGTTTTCTCTTATTTTCACTCTTTGTTGCTTCCCGATCTTCGACCTGACTAGACGGACAACTCATTTATTCCGTGCCCTTAACCCATATGAGGGCCGGAATATCTTATCTCAACGATGTTGACCCCACACTTATTTACCAAGATTTCTTCTCATCTTGACGTTACCCGCAGGTCAACCAGTTGCTCCGTTTTCGACGAGAAAACGTTTGAGACCCATCGTTCGAGACGCGACACAGTCGCAAGCAGAACTTATCCCTCGTCAGTGAACCAAACTTTAAATACAGACAGGGATATCTTATTGACGAACAAACTTGCTGCCCGCAGGTCAGACCTTCTCCGTTTTCGACCAGAAGACGTTAGAGACACACGACACGGTCGTGAGCAAAAAAATTCGTATTCAACAGGTGACTTATACTTACCCCTCGTCAGTGAACCAGTAAATACAGACAGGGATATTATTACCTTCGAACAAACATTTTTCGTCTCTCTGGGCTCGCCGTAAACAACTCCACAAGACCATGAAACTCGCTTCAAACATTCTTCGTTTCTCCTGGCTAGATGCCCACAGCAATCCAGAAAATTTCCAGCAGGCAATTCAATGCCTCACCAAAAACTCTGAGACGACCGAACATTCTTTCTAACTATGAACCTGAACACAAAAATACCACACACACTTACAACGCCAAAAAAAATCCACAGTGAGTACTCCTTTCTATCTGTGCGCACATCCTTTTTCCAGAACCTTATAAAACTCTTTTTCCCGCCTTAGCCATCTTGCATTCCTATTTTGGCGCGGAACCCTTTTTCCAAATTTACTTGTTTCAATCTAATTAAAGATACACATGTTTTACAAATAGACGTCTTTGTCATTTTATTCCGGTTATCTCTTTGATGTTCATTAATTTATGCACTTGTTGATTGACCCATTTCCTCTCACTGTTCATTCACGCATATTACATTATTATTTTTTTTATACATTGCTTGTGGACTCGGTAGTTTAGTGTGGTGTCTGGCACAAGGCCACTTAGTA